GGCAGGCCTAGAGTGAAAATGGAAATATTCAAAATCGAGATTCTACTATATACGATTTCTGTTCTCGGTTCCCTGAACAAAAATATTATAAACAAATTTCGAGTATAGCACTTATTGAAGTTGAAGCTGAAACCATTGCTAAAACCTTCGGTGAGAAATATTTTTGACACGAACTTATTTTTTTTCATTTACTCATGTTTTTTTTCCAACCCCCTCGCACATGGGTATTGTGCACAGCGCTACCACAATGCTCACAAACATGCGGAACTGCAAGTAGTAATATTTTAATAACAAATTTTGAATTTTCGTAGTATCCCAATCAGCACCAAAAATTCAATTAAGTGTTACGTAGCATCCTACCGATTCCGTGTTCCCCTGGGCAGAAGATCTAGTTCTATGTCATCTAGTGCATCTCATTTTTTCTTATTCCACGCGATGCTGCTTCTGCCTTGGTTTCCACATATTTCTATCAAGTTGTATAGTAAACTACTCCATGGGTAGAAAAACTGTGGTCTAAACAAAATAGAACCCAAAAATCCAAAAGAAATGAGTAAGAGTCTAGAAATATAGTATCAATGCTACTCATTGTCGTCCCTTAACTTAGCCGGTTCCTAAAAAGTTAGTTCTAGCGTGTTACGTTTTTCCTGCTAAAAAAGTTGAAAATACATATGTCATGGGCGAAAATCGGCCACGTTATATTTTATATAGGTAAATGGTCCTTTGTTTTATTTACATGAATAAATTATAAATGTCACCAGAGGTTGTAACGCATTTATTTCATGTTTTCTAGGAGTAAGTGACTGGAATTATTGTAAATTTTTATTACGTTTTAACTTTTGTTTATATTTCCAGATTTGCGATGGCTACAGGAATAGACAATCCCGCTTACGATGCATCGGCAAACAGATTGGTAAGTTAATGTTTATTTCCGTATTCCATACTTTTATAGAAAAATGTGCACCAAAATTGATTATCCGTATATACGAAATTCAGAAAAATACATTTATCTATATTATACTATACTATTATCAATTTAATAGTCTTCATTCAAATCCTATGGACATTATTCATATTGGTGAAAATTATTATATACGGGATAGATGACTGATAGATCATTTTACATAATCGACGTAAGATCCCACACACATACGTCTAATAAGATTTATCTTGGGAGTGTCTTTTGCATTCGGGATTGAAAAAAAGTTTCATGAGTGCATGTGCACACGCAACAATATATGGGCAAAATTCCAAACAAATAACTAAACTAATCGAGATAAAATTTATAGAAAATATCAAGTTCAACCATTTGTTCTCAGAAATTCAGAACAAATGCAAATGTCGTCGTTCCATCTGCATCTTGAAGTTGATTTCTTCCATAGATTTTAATCCTATTGGTTCAGCCATTTGTTTTCCATGTTGCCTACAGAATTGTGCACGCGTGCGCATACACATATACGCACACATTCAGATTTTTTTTTCAGTTTTTTCAATTTAATGTTCAGTGCCTCAAAATGAATGGTATGATCTCACTAAAAGTTTCAATATGAGATCTTACGTGGATCATGAAAAAAAATATACTAGCGATACATCCTTTATCGATCAATTTTTACCTGCGTAACGAAGAAAACGCGATAAATCAAAATTCAAAATGATGAAGAACGAAGAGCAATCGAGCAATTTCACTCGAACGATTCGGTCAGAAAGAACCTTCAAATTAAGAAGGTAGATCTTATTTACGTCCAAAATCTCAGTGAAGTGGTATCCGGAAGCTTACACAACTCTGGGGAGTTTGCCTTTGGACTTGAGTAAATAGAAAATTCGGATAATTCGATTTCCAGCGACGGAATCGAGTTGAGCCCATTAAGATTTTCTACAATTATACCATTTTAGTGTCTGTAAAAGTGTGCAGCCATTGCTCGAATACTTTCGTTGAGTGAAATTACTTGCATGAGTTTCTCTGGACCTCATAGATAAATTTATTAAACGTTGCGCGAAAAGCGCAATTTGTCATTATTAACTCATATTCCGTACTGTTATTTTTGGCACTTTTAAACTGTACAGATGGGTCAATTATATGTAACGCGTTTTTCATTGAGTAAAAGTGTGTTAAAATTTCTGAAAAAAATCATGTACGTTATTTGATCCTTTATAAATAAACACTAGAATAAAAGATTGAAAAATAATTATTTTACCAGAGCAGCTATTGAATTAATGAAAATTAATTTTCAATGCATCGATACTGATAGAAATTGTGCGAACAAAAACAACCCATCAGCACGGAACAAGGGTTTAACAGAGGATTTACGCTCGTGCGTTCATTCCTATGGATGTATGGGTGCGCGCGTGCGCGCATCCAGTGTGTAGTTAAATGTGCTTCATCGATCTCAGGAAGGATCGGAAGGGGCGCAATAAAACCTTCGGATAATCCCGGATTCACACATATGCAGATCTTCGCAGGCAGACAGATACGCCAATATCGTAGAATGTAAACACTTTCGTGGAGCCAGGTAACAGGGTTACAGTGTGAAACATATATGAAATAGGTGGGACAATGGTTTATTTGTCACAGAAGTTATTTCTACTAGATACTTATACAAGTATAACAAGATAAAATTCTCGTTCATAGACACAACTGCATATAACATTTCAGAGTGGCTTTTATACTCACAATCGAAAAAAAGGATGCGTGTGTACGCGCGGGCTCACGTGTCGGTATATATGTATGTGCATGTAAAATTTGGTAGGCATAATGCTAAACAAATAGCTAAATTAAACAGTCTAAAATTTAGAGGTGGTTTCAGAGATAGATGGTATAATAACATTAAAAATATAAGTAATACTTCCGGTTTTCATACAGTGCATGCACAAAGTCCAGCATATTTTATATTCGACTTGGACACATGAATTCTTGTAGGCAAAATGGTAAAACTGCAGTATACGACTCCGAACTGAAGTTGGCTGCTAGTGACTTAGATTTTTGACGTACCGCCATCTGTCGGATATAATGTGAATCGCATGGAATAATCGTGCCGCCTATTCGAAAAAAAAGGTTAACCATGTTTAAAATTATGAAACAAATTTAGTTTTATTGAAGATCTAAAAAAATATATTATACATAAATTTACATAATTTACTTACAAATTTCGAAGCTGAAACCTCTTCTTTCATCTTTATATTCTAAATCGCAAAATATTCTAAATCGAAAAGTTGATGCTACGTCAATAATTGGTGGCTCTGAAAAGTACCGATTTTTTGGGATTTCCTCCGTCGACGATTCCACCTCAAAATCCACTTCCGTTTGCTTCCGTCGCGTCAGTGTCCTCTTCAGCGTCCGCGTCGTTGGATGGAGGTGGATGAAGGCGAGCAATGTCTTTAAAAACGTTTCAAAAGGATCAAGTCGGTACATAAACTCCTCTAAGTATGAGGAGAACATACCTTTGCTGCGATTGCAATCCGGGAATTGCCGTTTAACGAATGCCCACAATCCTTCTGTAACGTTCGTGGCAGCATCCGTCTTGGGATCTTTGAAAGTCAATTAATGATTGACGGTCGGATGCTCGTAACCTTCTGCACCTAAGGATCCATAGGCTTTCCAACAATCGCTAACAATTGTGGTGCCAGGTGCAATAAATTCCTTAATGAGAGGCACGAGTGTGGCCGCCGATCGATCATTGACTGTTGTCAAAAAACACCGATTACTGCCTCGTTCTATTCCACCAAATACTCACTACCCTGTCACCTGTTTACCTCGATAGTAGTTTCGCTTGCCGAACTTCGATTTGTCGATCTCTACAACAATACCCGGACCTCCAATTTGACCACGTTCTTCTAGTACAATACCGACGCATAATTCGCGACAGAAATAGTACCAGTCGACCGTCGTGTGCAAGGAACATTGAAATTCCCACTGAGTCTGAATCTGGGTGTGCTTATAAATCCAAAAATATGTCAGTTGCAAAATTTGGATCATTGACAATTTTGATTTGCCAAAAAACGAATCAGTTCTCACTGATCTCGTTGTCTTGCAACTACGACATTGCCAACGATACTTGTCCGAAAGAAATTCAACAGTGCATAGAATCATGTCCTTATCGCACACTGAACACTTGAAAGCCCGACCTATGAGTTCACACCTTTGTCCAAAAGTGATTACCTCAATAGGAAGTTTCTCGCTTAGTTTGAACAAATCTACAAACCGTATCACCATTGCAAACGATCACACACAATCCAATTTAAGTAAAATAAATAATCACACACTTATGTCACACGCTTTGCGAGCTACTAACGAAAATAAATGCTTCTACATGTTTTACGCAAGCAGACGATATATTGTAGCAAAAAAATCTCAAAGCAGTAGGTCAGATTTAATGCTCAATGTACAATTACGAGCTTGCAGATATACATAGTTATATTTTAAAATAATATTACGCATAAATTAAATATACACATATTTAACATAAAAATATGTAATAATATCTTCATATTAAAATACATGTATACATAATAGGTATACATAATAGGCAAGAAAATTGAACGAAAAAAATCCCCAAACTTGGAATATTGCGATTACTAGATCATGTTTTATGAAATTATATTTTTATAACAAAATAATATATATGATAACAGTAAAAGTATATTCGTTTCAAATTTTTAAAGATAGTTGCGCTTTTTTCCAATTAAGTGGCGCCACTATTCCATGAGATTCGCATTACATTTGACAGATGGCACTATGTTAAAACTCTAAAACTCGTATTCAGAACTCGCTCTTAAGGTCACTATCAGAGTCACTATTAGTTAAAAGTAACTGTGTCGAGTTGTTAGTGACCGTATTCAGAACTCGCTTTTAAGTCGCTTTTAGCTAAAGGTACGCTAACAGGGAACAGCGTGTTGTAACATGTACTTTCAATCGCGTTCGTAATCATTCGGGAAGACTCGGGCATATTCGATTATGTCCGGGAGTACTCGGTGGCATTCGGAAAGCGCGAACTTCATATTTGGTGAAAACTGTAGCCATATTTGAAATTTGAAATTCAAGAATTCCTTTTCTTGAAGCCAAGCTATTAATATTCAATTAATACGTTAAAACTATTATAAGACAGGCATGACATGAAAATGAAAAAAAAATAAACGGTTGTAGATCATCATGGAACGAAAGGAGAATTTCACCCTCTAAGAAAAAGCATTAGTCATACAATTTGTAAGCGACAATCGTGATATACTAGAGAATAAAGCAAATCATGCTTGATTGCAAAAGAGTATAAGAGACAAATGAATGAAACTAACAGAAAAAATGAAGGCGACTGGAATTAAGAGGGAATGGGAAGATATAAGAGATGCATAGCAGCGATGGAAACTCACAGCAAAGAAGACTATTTCTTGCTATCGCAAGCGTGCGAGTGGTACAGGTGCACTGTCTACTATTATACTTATTAAAAAGCTTGAGGATGGCGATTTAAAGTTACTTTACGGCGGGAAAAAATGAAAATTTGAACAAATGTCGTCATTTGTTAAATTTTGAGGCCGAGATCTAATTTATACAACTAATATTTTATAGATTTTGTGATCTGCCTTTAAAACTTTGAAACAAATACAGTAAGCAATATTAAACAATTAACGAATCAGTCATTGGAGTTGCAATTATTTTTGTTCGGTTTTCTTTTCGGAAAGCGATTACTGCTTGTTTCTTAATACTTGTAGATGTTTCATCTTTATTGAATATTCGCTTGTAAATCCGCATGATACCTGTGGAAACAATAACTAATTAAAGTTGGAAGACACTGGGTATATTGGGCACAATCAAGAAAACAACAATTAGCGATGGAATAAATACTTCAGTAAGAAACATGAAATGATAGAATAGCGAACGAGAACATTCATCACTGTACAGAAGAGTATCATTCGTTAGTTAACTAACCCTATTTACGTATAGCGACCAAGTCCCATGTGATAAACTAATCTTCGACGGCTTATTGAAAGACAGTAAACAATGATATATAAAATCGACCAATGCCAATGTAAGGACCAATGCTAATGAATGCGTTTTAATCGTTGAAATCTCAGCTACAACATGGATAAAAATGAAACTTCTATTTCATCGCTTTCCTAATGAAAAATGGCGGGGAAGCTTCGGGTGCACGTGCGAAATCTCGAGATCTCCGTCACGGGATCATCTCCGAGAACAATAATTTCGTGAGAATCTGCAGTATCATTAAAGATGATATCATGCAGAAACTGGACCAGATTGGCCGGCGCGTTCAGAAGTTATGGCCATTTAAGTGTTTTCACTTCAAGGGGGTGTAACTCCCCCTAGAGTGATCCTACAGTCACGGGATCATCTC